CAGACATTTGAGGCCTTTTGCAATTTCTCGCACTGGCGGAAGGACAATGGCTCGCTTTTCTCCTTCTGGAAGGAGTGCCATTTTTGACCAAAAAAATCATTTACAGATTTTTTCGGCATGTCCCTGAGGGCAAACAACAACAAAATTCATATAAATCGTCCTTCATTTTTTTTAACCTTTTAATACTAATAACCAAGTGTCTCGCTCTTTTTAAAGCTTATAGAATGATGGTTAACCACCTAAATATTACAGTTTCAGTTCTTAGTATACAACTGATGAAAGACTTGGGTAGGGACGTACGGCCGTGTTGTGCAGTCAATAAATGAGCCTCATCGTTCAATTGAATTCAAAACTCGTTTCCTCGCAAGCACTTATTGAAACATTTGACACCATTGTTTGTTATGTCGTATTTGCAGAGAGGAGAGGAACGCATGGTGTGCCCCTTTTATAGAGCCTCTTCAAGGTTTTTCTGAATGTGTTGACATCATCCGTGTTTTCACACTGTCAAGATTGACATCTTTGAAATCTGGAAACTTCGTGAATCGCACAATAATCTGTAGTGCAACCTGTCAATTACAGTCGTTGCGACTTCGGTTAGCTTGATTTTTCGGTTTGGTCAGTCACTCTATTGAACTGACCGCGATTAGAAAATCCTGTCCTTGTTCAGTTGGTTGTTGGCAGAGAGAAGGATTCGATTCATTGTCTTTGGTTGATGGAGAAGCAGAAAGATGATTGGACGTATAGATGTTTCATCTTCGAGGCACTGCTGGAGTCAGCAAAGGAACCCCGTTTTTCCAATGGCGTGGTCGGAATGTTGTCATTGTGTTGCAGATATGTTGGTGACAAATCATCCAACCAATGATACATTTTACTATGCTGCGGACGTGAAATTTTGAAAAAAAAACGGAGGATGATATATGAATTTTGATGTTGTTTGCCCTCAGAGTCTCAGGCGCGTTCTTAACAAAAAAAAAAGTGCACCACGATGCACCACGATGCACCATGCCAACCCGGACATACGCAAAAATCCGGGTTAGCATGGGTTAGCATGGTGCATCGTGGTGCATTTGAAATGCACCACGATGCACCACGATGCACCATGGCATCATGGACTTGGCACGTGCTCCAAAAAAAATATTTACCAATCAAAATTGTTGGAATCCTGAACTGAGAATGCTTACCTGCCTCCGGTAACACAGTTGCTTTAACATCAATGCATACCCAACAATAAGACAAATGGCTTCAAACAATGTTTCCCCATCCCAAGAACAGCGTTGTGGTGTGAAGACCGGCTGCATGTATCCGTCTTTGCCATTGGTTGGGCCTGGGGACCATGTTTGCCGAGGATGTGGCGAACCAGTGCATAACTTGTGCTGTCAAGCTGCGGGTTTTGATGAAATTGACTTTGTGTGTTCTCCAACATGCAACACAAGTAGTATCGAGGCCAGTATTGAGGAAAGTGCTACTACAAGAGGCGAAGCAACCATCATCAAAACGAACTGGAATACAGTCACATGGGATGATGTTGTTGTTACACAAGAGCCTGTTAATCTGGTGGGCGTGGAGTCTCAAAAAACATGCCTTTGCACAATCAAAGGTATTCCCGCAGCCGATCTCACAGCCTCTGACTGTTGCGTCATAGGGAAGAACCTCAAAGTGTCTTCTTATACTAGAAAGAGGAAGGGAGTTCTTTGTGATATGATTGCAAAACAAAGACTTGTCTCACAAATGAACATGGATGAGATCACAAGAGGAAAGTTGCACCCATAACTACAGCAAAGAGGAATCCTGCGACACTGCCCCCTGTTGTACGAAGTTCTGGGACTATATATCGGTTTGTTATGACCATTTGTGCTGAGGAGATGCGAGATCTTGTTGAAAATCTTGGAAAACAACCCAACCGCCAAGAGATGGATGCTGGCAACAGGAATGGCGAACGGTTGTATCACGAAATTGCAAAATTCTACAACAATGAATTGAATTCTGCACTGTCTTCCATCCCTATGTCTGACATCAATATGCAGGATATGATGGAACTCAACAACATTGATGAGGATGACTGCGGTACAGACTATGACAAGTTGAATGCTACTGATTGCCTCAATTTGAAGAAGCACATTGATCACCATTACAGGGTTGCTCATGAAAGAAAAAAAATGTCGGGCAACCACAGCGACTTCCACAACTTTGTGGGACAACGGCCATTCTTGTATCTATATCACCTGCTGATGAAAGAATCTTCAAGTATGTTGCCTGTGTTTCTGTTTGTTGCCTGCCTAGTCTCATAAACATCTTCTTCTTTCATCAAACAGGCTACACAGTTCTTCATAGAGCGGCGCTTAAGGGTATTCCTGCGGATGTGTTTTGTGATGGTGGATTCCAGAAGACACCAAGCAAGCCCCCCCCCCGCGAAGCACTCGCAGCAGCCTTTCTTCATCTGGAAAAAGGAAGAGCCGCCCTGAGAATGACTTAGGAGATTCCATGAGAATGCTTGTCGATTTGAAGAGAGCCGAAATGGAAAAGAACTCAAATGATTACAGTTCAAAGCTTTGGAAAGTTGAGGATGACTTAGATAAGAACTTGGAGAAACGGACGGCAAATATGACCAAGACACTAAAACTCCAAGAACAATTGAACCAATGTTCAGATGAGCACACTAAAGAACGTATGAAACATCTACTATGTGATCTGGAAAGGTCAGACATCATGTTGGGCAAGTCTTACCGCGTTGTGGAAAAGAAGAGGGACGACATCCTTGAGGACGCAAGAAGTCCAGTGTCTTCTCCAATCAAAAGGCTCGAGTTGCGTTTTGAGACATCCGACGTTTCGGATGATGAAGAGGTATAAACCAAAGTACTAAATAAGAAATCACTGATGATGAAGAGACATAGATCTTCTTACTAAATAAGACATTACTACATAAGACTGTTTTTCTCGCAATAATCGAACGTTTTTTCGTGTTCACGTTTTCTTGCAACATTTTGTTGACTCCGTGTCAATCCGTAAGCCCTAATGTGATCCACCAATAAATTCCGCATTGCTGAAGACCCGGGTATTTGCTCAAAAGGGCGCAGTGTGGGTAAATATCCCAGGCCTGCTGGGGAAAGTTCCATAGAGTCAAAACAAGTGTTGGCAGACATTTCCGTTTCTTCACTTTCTTCTTGCTCGTGCTCACCAAGTATCCTTTCATTAATTCCAAAATTGTGAAGCCTGGCACAAACTTCGAGGACCTGTGACTGCCTAGCAAGCTTCCCTCCCAACGGTCTGCGCAGCACTCTCCACTTGTTAGTCAGATGGCCGAACGCCATCTCAATCCTAATCCTGAGCTGAGAGATGTGAAAGTTATAAACATCATTGGATGGATCCAGTTTGTAGGTACCGGTGAATGGAATCAACAGGTTATCACCTAGAGGAAAAGCTGCATCGCCAATGACATAGGTACCGAATGGCAATGAGTCCACAAATGCTGGGAGCCGAGATTTGAGATACGTCATTCGGTCAGAAGCGGACCCTGGATTCAATACGCCAAAAAAAGTGAAACGCAAAAAAGCATCACACATGGCAAGAACATTTAATCCAGGACAATTGTAATGTCCTGAAAAATAGGATCTCACCTGGCCTTCAGCACAGGCCACCGATGGGTTGCCTATGCGTTGAAGCATTCCGTCCAAAACTCCGACACAACCTTTGCACACCCCTGAAGAACTTAGTTTTTCGAAATCTGACCGGAATTTAGATATCTCAGAAGGATTGGAAAGATCTGGGAGCCTGATGTCAAGTTCGTCTGTTGTACACACAGCATCCAAGAACAAGTCCCTCAACCTGTAAACAGTGGATACGGTCAGCCCATACGCGTTCTTAATATCGGTTGGAGACCCCCCGGCAAGCCAACGAATTCCACATGCCATAACAACTTGAGGAATGATTGGAGCTGTGCCAGATGACGCTGTGCTTCTAGCACCATTGAGCACTATTTTGTCCCCCAATAATCCTTTTAGCTTCATGAAAGAGGGATAGGACATGCGATATGTCCTATGAAACGAGTTCTGATACAACTCTTTCTGAAGATGTTCGTCCCAATTGACCCGTTCGGTTGGATACTTGGGTCTTCTCGTCTGTTGTTGTGTTAAATACGCGAGAGCAAAAAATAAAGCAGTGTCGTAATCGTCATCAAGATCAAAATCAAGCATCTTGTTGTTGTTGTTTTGTTGTTGTTGCGTGTCGCGGAAAAAATTGACCGCACCTTAGTGCATCTACATGTGTTTACTTAAAGAATTGTATGCAGGGCCGGTACTGCCGCACAGGGCCGATAATGCGGCACCGTTTTTGTTAGGAATGGTCGAAAATGCACCAAATTCCGCCGTGGTGCAAATGAGGCACGTGGTGCATTTTTGTTTTTTTGTTAAGAACGCCCCTCAGGAACACCCGGCAAATGACGAAAATCCGTACCGCGCGGGGTCGACTGTGGGAATTCTGATGTCTTTCAATTGGCGATCCCTGCCTTAAATATATTTCAGGTTTTAAACAATATCATTTTCACAGAACAACTTTATTTTCGATCTTTTCTGATCCTAATTCTCTAAATAACAACGGGTCATTTGATGGTCGCAGGGTCATTAAGAAACTTCGAATTCCAAATCATATCAATAGACGGAATCCTGAAGTTGGGAGTTATAACTCATTGCGAGGGAATCCTTGAGTAAAAACTCACACGTTTGAGTTATAACTCAAACGTGTGAGTTATAACTCAAACGTGTGAGTTTTTACTCAAACTGAACTCTACCCAGCTGACCGTATAGAAAGGTTACGAAAGAAATAGAGAAGAAGAATTCCAGATTCCGGTGGTCATGAATACTTCAAATGACCACCGTAGGAAAGTGAACGTACAAAGTACGAAGCTGGAGGAAAGCCTGCGAAAAGACCCGAATTGGAATGACTTGCAGCTGCATCAAAAAGCACACAAATCAATCCAACTCGGAACTTGAGCAAAACACCTTCAGACTCCAGCAATAGGTAGAAAATTTTTAACTCCCGCCCACCCGACGCAGGATTTATATCTTGCGGAGACTTCAAGTTCGTGGACTCTTCGAGTTGGAACTCTTCGAGTTCTACTCTTGGAGGCCCGAATCTGTGTCTCACCCGGATCGGAACCCGGAAAGCCTGCGTGGGCTAGGACAATATCTAGCCACCAATTATGAAACGAGATGTACGACTCCTAACCTGAACTCTACCCAGCTGACCGTATAGAAAGGTTACGAAAGAAATAGAGAAGAAGAATTCCAGATTCCGGTGGTCATGAATACTTCAAATGACCACCGTAGGAAAGTGAACGTACAAAGTACGAAGCTGGAGGAAAGCCTGCGAAAAGACCCGAATTGGAATGACTTGCAGCTGCATCAAAAAGCACACAAATCAATCCAACTCGGAACTTGAGCAAAACACCTTCAGACTCCAGCAATAGGTAGAAAATTTTTAACTCCCGCCCACCCGACGCAGGATTTATATCTTGCGGAGACTTCAAGTTCGTGGACTCTTCGAGTTGGAACTCTTCGAGTTCTACTCTTGGAGGCCCGAATCTGTGTCTCACCCGGATCGGAACCCGGAAAGCCTGCGTGGGCTAGGACAATATCTAGCCACCAATTATGAAACGAGATGTACGACTCCTAACCGTGTGAGTTATAACTCAAACGTGTGAGTTTTTACTCAAACGTGTGAGTTATAACTCAAACGTGTGAGTTATAACTCAAACGTGTGAGTTATAACTCAAACGTGTGAGTTTTTACTCAAACGTGTGAGTTTTTACTCAAACGTGTGAGATTTTACTCCCTTTCCAAAACCGTTGCTGGAAATTCGAGCTGGCGGACCAACGACTACTTTCACCAAAAGATACAGTCCTGTACTTTTCCAGATCCAAACCCTATAAAAGAACTTGTCACGCAACATCATTGGGACAAAAACGAGTTCTACGGCGAGGCAGGAGGTGAAAGGAGAGAGACTTTCAGCCGCTTCCTCACCGACAAGGTCAGAAGAAAGGGTTTTGGTTGGAAAGAATTCGTTGATTTGCTGGATGAACGGGAAGTTGAGTAACTCACACGTTTGAGTTATAACTCACACGTTTGAGTTATAACTCAGACGTACTCACACGTTTGAGTTATAACTCAACGCCGTGAGTTATAACTCAGGATTCCGTTGTGATCTGAGTTATAACTCAGAAAAAGTCACAATGACCAATCGGTCATCTGTGTCCATAAGTCCCTATTTGATAAATCATCACATATAATAATATGTCATTAAGGCACGAGCACGTCAAACTTTGCGATCAGTGTCCCGAAAATACTCGGTCTGAACATTTGCCGGGTGTTCCAGGGAGACCCTTCGCTCGTTTACGTGCGACCGACAGGCGGGGTGGGTTGACCGCAAGACGATGATGGCTAGAGAGTGCACGCAACCCGCTTGAGAGAGCGGTGACACCCGTCTGTCCCCTTGTCCCTATTTATGAAAATTACCCTGCCTTGCTGATGGTTCACTGACTGACTGACTGACTGACTGACCCAGCCGCCTCTCCGATAGCGGACGGACGGACGGAACCAATTCATTTTTGCGTGCGTGGCTGTGATTTGTTTTTCAGTTTTGACTTTTTTTCAACGTGTATTTTGCCACAACTATTTTTCATCGCGGTTTTTTAAAAATAGTATAAATAAGTTTCATTTTTCCACAAGGAAATTCGGAAAAGATTGTTTTTCTGCTACATATTTTCTATTTAGAGTCCATCTTATTTGTCTGTTTTTCTAGCCTTTACGGCAACAAATTGTTTCCCCCACTTTGCAGCCCTACCCCGTACACTTTTATATCGTATACTTAGTACCTGGTACGTGTACCATACGTGGGTACTGGTAGTCGAATCAATCGTCAATCGATCGTGAATTCCCAATTCCCACATGATGGGCGTGCTACATCGTCTACAACGAGTACTACTTGATGCAGTACAAGCGAGTAGTAGGAGTCGCTCACACGCGTGCCGGCGGTGCGTCTTTTTAAATGTGGAAAATTCCTGCTTGACTATCTAGTCGAATGTCTGTTTATCAGGTCGTTTTGCTGCTGTTGCTTCTTATTTTAAAGTACTATTATTGTCGCAATACATTCTCTGTTGCCATGAAGGGAGGCTCGGAGACTAGCGCTTTGGCGGCATTAAAACCGTATTTGGAATCAGTCTTCTCAATTGAGGCTGAAAAACCTTTCCCCAATTGTAAGGTTGGAATCCGCGTAACCAAATCCAACAGATGGAAAGTCTTTTATGTCAGCCAAATCAGGGAAGATTCAATATTTGTCAACACGAAACTCAAGACGGGAGACGTCCTCGTCACCATCAATGGAAAACCTTGCCCGGATACCCTACAACATGTTTTGGGGATGTTGGGAAGCATCACTGGCCCTGTCAAGCTTACGGCAGCCGCCACCAAGCGTGCCTTTGATATCGAGGACGACGATGAAGAAAAAGGCGAAGAGAAAGGTAACGACTGCATCGCCCCTTCCTACAGCACCTCCTCCCAGTCGACTCATGTACATTTTGTAGGTGAGGTAACCAGCCGAAGGTTGACTACGTTTGAAGTTACGAAAAAGAAAAAGTCAGACAAGCTTGGCTTTACAGTGGACACTTCGAGATTCAAGAATCCCGATGGTTCCAATCAACTAATTGTTACAAGAGTTCAGCGAGGTGGCAGCTTTCCCGATCTCAAAAGCGGGTCCATCCTCCTTTCCGTCAATGGAAAACGCGCTACTGACTACAAGAAAACTGTGAAGCAATTAAGGTCATCGAGATCTCTGAACATAGCTGTGGAGGAACCCTTGTGTCCCAGCCTCATGGGACAGGACCAACGGTCCATCATGTTTGGCAAACGGCATATCAAAATCGAGACACCTCCCAAAGGCGTCATTATCATTTGGTTTTTGATTGCAGTGGAATTGCTTTTTGATCTTGTTACAACTTCCTTTGCATTCAAGGCTTTTTTTGAAGAATCGAGGACCTGCTGTGGAGAAAAAATCGACAGTGGTGCTATTCCACTAGCTACTGCACTCCCATTTGCCTTATTAGTTGTTGCCGAACTGGGCTTTTTGCTGCGGGCAATGAGACTCACTATGTGGCCTCCTACCGTTTCAGAAGAAGAATTGGATCCAAATCGATCATGTATTTCTAAGCTGTTCTTTGGCAGTAACCCTGGTATTGTGATATTTGTCATTAATTTTTTGACCGTCATCAATCCTTTCTTTGGATTCATCATTGCATGGATGCTGATTTATCAGTCCGATGAACAAGAAGCATACTTTGTTGTTGGAATGGAGAGCATTGCAGTTATATTGCATTTTATCTCAGTTCATTACGAGGGGCAAGCAAGAACCATCGTGGGAAAACTCATACACTCACTTGTCATTATTCCCTTCTTGGCCACTGGGGTATTGCTTTCGTGGTTTTTGCAAGTAAAGGGAATCTGTTACAACTCAGAAGTGAACCTGTTCTGGTTTGAGGGTTGTGAAGTTTGTCCGACTGGAGTGCCACCAGAAAATGGACTCTGTCCCATCATTGAGACTTCGAATGGGACAAACACAACTGTGGGATACGAACAGTACTATCTTTGGGAGTTGGAGCAAACAAACTATTGTGATGGGGAATTCCGAATGTGTTTTTTCCCGTCGGACTAAGGCAGTGGGGACCGTTAATTTGCGAAATCAAAAGTTTCCAACTTGTCAACTCTATCAGAGGGAGCTCGGGCGTCTAGTTGCAAACGTCCATTTTACGGGAAACAAAGACATGGGAATGGGTGTTGATGTTATTACATGCTTGTACCAACGCAATGCAGTCGAAAGCCTGATCAAGAGCTTTTCAATCGACAGTTTGCTTCCACCCCTTTCGCAACGTGACTGACTGGACTGCCGAGTCCCGAGCAGATGTATTAGAGCGATCTATTGCCAACGGTCATCGCCGAATATTCAGCCCAAGATAAATCACTCATCATCTACTCACTGTTGGAAATCGGTTCTGGCGGACATCAGACAAGTGGCCCTTTAAGCTGGCTTGTCTTCGTCCAAACGGATTGACAACATTGTGGCCCATCAAGCCATGATTGCCAACCAGCCGTGCCAAGATGCGACCCATCAAGTTGTCATGCAGAGGCACTTACCATAGCGATCTCGGATCTGTCTAATACAAAATAATCATATCTACAGGAAATAACTATTCTAAAAGATTTGTTATCTACACGCAAAAACCTTGTACAAAAACGCAAATTTCCCAAACCTTTATTTGATGTTATGCAACCCAGAAAGGCTGGTACAAAACCCACGTACAGAACTCCCACAGGATTCAGTGGTATGGGATTTTTGTGGCGCTCAGACAGTTTGATAGTCCAAGCGCACAATTCCATGTTTTCGGAATCCCTGCAAAACCGACTCATAGGAACCCACTTGTCCAGCCCGTCCCAATTGCATGAACATACTAGTTGGATTTTGGTTCTGGCGGACATCAGACAAGCGACAGGCTTGTCATCGTCCAAACCGATTGACAACTTTGTGGCCCATAAAGCCATCATTGCCAACCAGTTGTGCCAACATGCGAACCATCAAGTCGTCATGCAGAGGCACCGACCATAGTGATCTCCGATCCGCCTAATAGGAAATAATCATCTCTACAGGAAATAACTATTCTAAAAGACTTGTTATCTACATGGAATGGGCAAAGCAAAAGCCTTGCACGAAAACTCAAATTTCCCAAAACTTTA